CACCTCCNCCCACCTCCCCGCCACCCCTGCCTGCCTCCCCTGCCTGCCTGCCTGCCTGCCCTGCAGACGAGGATGAGGAGCAGGAGAAGAAGCCCAAGACGAAGAAGGTGTCGGAGACGGTGGCGGAGTGGAAGGCTCTGAACGACAACCAGGCCCTGTGGCTGCGCCCGCCCGGCAACGTGTCGGACGAGGAGTACGCCAAGTTCTACCAGGCGCTCTCCAAGGTGCGGGGTGTACAACAAGTGTTATTATTGTTGTTTTTACTATCAAGTACTAGTGAAGCAAGGTGTCCTCGTAACCCACGGGGCGGGCAGAGGGTGTGGTGGTGTGGGAGCCACTGCTGTGGCATGTGTGCGTGCTTGCTTGGTTTGAAAACTTCGCCCAAGGGCAGCTCCGCTGCCTGTTGCCTGCCTCCCTCAAACCTCCCCCTCCCTGCCTCTCTGCCCCACCTCGTACCTCCCTCCCTGCCTCCCTGCCTCCCTCACCCCTCTCCCTCCCTGCCTGCCTGCCTGCCCTGGAGCGCAGAAGGAGTGGGATACCCCGCTGGCCCACACGCACTTCAAGGCGGAGGGGGATGTGGAGTTCAAGGCGGTCATGTTTGTGCCCGCCCAGGCCTCCCCAGGTGAGCGGCAGCTTCCCTGGAAGGATGGAAGGGAGGGTGCTGCGCCCTCCCCCCCGCCCCCCCTCCTCCCAAGCAGCGCCGCCGTGCAGCAGCGCCGCAGAGGGTAGCAGAGCGGCGCCTGCCTGCGCCCCGCGCCCGCCAACCAGGCTTGCCGAGAGAAAGGGGGAACGGAAGAAGGGAAGGGAGCGTGCCGCACGTGCCGACAACGCGCCACCACCCAACCGCACGGCACGCTCCACCTGTGGCCTTGCCCCCCTTTCTTACTGTTCCTCTCCTTTCTATGTTTTCCTCCTTTCCTCCCCAGACCTCTACGACAACTACTACGCCAAGAAGCCCTCCATCAAGCTCTACGTGCGCCGCGTCTTCATCTCCGAAAACTTCGAGGAGCTGCTGCCCAAGTGAGCGGTAGCGCCGCTGTGCTGGGCTGGCGCCGCGCTGGGCTGGCGCCGCGCTGAGCTGGCGCCGCCCCTGCGCCCGTGCTGCCCTTCCCCTCTGCCGGCCTGCTGCTTCGGATGCCTGCAGTGCCGCTGGCCTGTACTGCAGCCCGGTGGCCTTCCAGCTAGCTCCTGCTGGTGCCACCCCTGCCAGCAAAGTTCCCCTGCCGACCCGCCGCCGCCTGCCCTTGCCCCTTGCCCCCTCCCCTCCCCGCCTGTAGGTGGCTGAGCTTCATTGTTGGCCTGGTGGACTCCGACACTATGCCCCTCAACGTCTCCCGCGAGATGCTGCAGCTGCACGAAGGGTGAGGCAGCTGGTGGGGTGGGGTGGGGGTGGGTGGGGGTGCCAGGGGCCTGGTGTGTGTGTGTGTGTGTGTGTGTGCAGCAGCCCACCC